GTAACTTCTGTATTGTTAGCCAGGCATGGCTGAAAGGCCAATATAATAAAAATAATAAATATATATATATATATATATATATATGTATAATGTTATGAGATTTCAGCTATTTAATCTAAACATTTATGTTTTCATGTTATTTGTGTTCCTTCTAGGATGAAAGAGGCATAATTTATATTTATTTCCTAATTTCTTTATGGTGGTTGCAAGATTGGTCAAATCTACTGAACCCGTACAGATATTAATTGCTGAAAATAACAGATAAAATATAAAGTTTTTTCTTAAAGAACATTTGATAACTATCTTTACATTATAAAGATTTTGCATGTGAAATTGAAAAATTTTCTGATGCATAAAAGTATTTTTAATCTTAAAATGAATTTTTCTTTGCATGATGGATAGGCAACATGCAAAAAGAAAAAAATAGACATGAGAAAAACATTGCATATGAAAGCATTGTAATGTTTACTGATAATCTGCTAAATTTAATTAACAATCACATACTAATTTAAAAGTTATAGCATGAAAACTATAACAAGCACAAAATGGTTACAGGTCCGAGCCCGTGCTGAAAGAGTTAATAAGCATGTTACCAGATTTCTTTTCTACATGAGTGGGATGAAGTTGTAAAATTATGTAAGGAGTCCAGTAAATGTCTTTTTTTTTTTCTTCTGTGTATTGATGTACCAAATCCAATAGTGTTACAGTTAATGAAGATGTCTAGAAATGTAAATTATTATTATTTTCAACTTTGCAAGTAAATTTACAAAACATCCTATGGTACAGTCCAGAGCAGAGATGCTGAGATCTTTGTTGTACTATAGTTAATTTCAGGTCCCTGTAAAGTCATTTAAACTTCCCAGTTAGTGTGTGAAACATCTTCAGTGTTAAAGTTTGTGTGTGTGTATCATATATAATTTTTTTTTTCTTTAGCTGATTTCCAACAAACTTCTTTCAATACTTTTGGGGTCTCATTGAAAAACATATGGTCATATCTTCGTAACTGTCATTTAGCAAAGGCTTTAATACTGGTCACATTTAACATAATAAAATTCCATTTTTATAGGATTAGCCTGACTTCTATTGTTGGCAGGGTTTTTATATATGTTTTCAGAATTATTTGAAAAGTTTTCTGTTAATTGATGGTTTTATCAATGTTCTCACCCCATCCCCTAAACAATTAATTGGGATTTTTAATAGCATCCCTAACTTTTTGGATGAGGTTACTCTGGTTTGTTATTTTATTTGAATTTCCAAAAGCCTTTAAAAATGCCTCACAAGATAATGATTAGTGAGTTGGGTACTTAAGTTGTTGGTGAAATTTTACCTTAGTGATGAAAAACTTGATAAATGGGCAGATTTATAGTTGGGAAAATGTTACTAGAGGTTACCACTTTTTTATTTATTTTTTTAGGCTTTAAGTTTCTTTATTTGTATTAATGATTTAGGTAACTTTTTGAGCAGTAGAATTTACAAATTTGCTGATGATACTGAAATCCTAGAAAGATTAGTTTTTTTTGAAATCAGTAATAGCATTAATAAATTGGCAGAACATGAAGAGCAATGTATTTGCTTCCCATAGAGCTTCTCCCCTAGATTTTTGGCAACTTCCTGTTTTCATTGCAGGAAGGTTTATTATAAGGTTTACATCAAGGAATAAATACTAAGTGGACACGATTTACAAAATGTTGCAGTTGACATAAGGTCCTTGGGAACATTCCTCTTTTTGTAGTCTGAAAGATGCACGATTTATTTAAACATGCACATTAGGGATGTCTGGGCATGCTGATTGTCAAAATCTGATCCTGATATTAGTAGATCTAGAGTGCATTGATCCAATATTTCATTCAGATTGCAGGTGTAACCAACTAGAATAAGTTTTGGAAGCCTACATGCACTTTTTTTGTTTTTGATGTTTAAAGTTATAAACTTGTAGTATGATTTATCTGATGATGAATATTTGTGTGATTTATTTAAATTATTTTCAATGTTGTTGGGTTTGTGCAAGTTAGCATAACCTGCATGCATGGGTGGGGGTCAAAGTGTACATGCCACAATCTTTTAATGCTATTCAACATGGTATTTTATATCATAGTTATCAACTATTCATTTTACCCTACATTGGTGATGTGGCAACAGTTCAGGGTAGATGAGAGTAAGTACCAGTTACAGCATATATTGAAAACACGGTAGATATGCATTTGGGAGTTTCTTGAGGTTAAGCAAACACAATATACAAGCTGTATGATGAACCAAAGTATTTTTATTATGCACATGAACATCAACTTATAGGCATATCTTTGAGTATTGATACATTTGTGACACATTTGATTTATTGTGTACAACAGATTTGTACACTGTTCTAAAAGTTTACCACGCTTCATGTAGATACACAAGGTAAATTTGGAATTATAGATACTTTCCTTCTCTAGTTGACTGACTCTGTGCACATTTAAAAAAAAAGTAAATTGAAGAATGGTATTATTTTAATGAAGGTTGACGTTAGTAAGATGAAATGTCTTGTCATGTTTTCCTTTTGTTAAACCTTGTTCAGTTTCTAGCCACTTAGTAGATATATGTGTTTATAATTTGTGGCTAATGTCTTATAGAATTCTTTACATAATATATGTATGTGTGTAATATACATTTTTTTTTTCTCTCATATTTTAGTCTTACCGTAGGCTTGCCAAAGAATACCATCCAGACAAAAATCCCCAAGAAGGAGAAAGAGTAAGGAATCACTTCAACTTTATATATTTTTGAATCATGCAATATGTTACTAATCCAGATATTAATACAATCTGAACTTCTTTTTTTTTAACCCCTTCACCGTGGCCGGGACGTATATTTCCCAATGCACTGGTATATATACGTCCCAGATGCAGTGAATGGGTTAAGTCATAAGATCTATTCTGTGATGTTTCCAGTTCTGTTAATATTTGGTTCCAACTTCTATTACAGTTAAGTGATACCATAAGCAGCTTATGTTACTGTTATACTAGTATTATTGGATTCTGTAGTATTGGTTTTCAAACATGGTGACTTGACTTGGACCTGTCTTACCATTGTATTCACATGCGTTATTTAATTAGTCAGATAAATATATTTATTTCATAGCATACAGGCCAACATTCACTTAATATGTGGACAACAAGGAACTATTTGGTCTTTCATGGCTGTTGTGCACACCAACCCTTGAGAAAAGTAAACAATTAAGCCCATCTTTCATTATTCAAGAAATCATGAATTCCCATTTTAAACTCCAGTAAACTACTGTTTTAGTGTAGAATAAAACAATTAATTGTGAAACACTAAGATGAAAATGCTTCAGACAACAGCCCTTCATTAGGTTTCTAGCCATAAATCAGTCACCTTGTTAGAAAAATAAGAGCCTTAATTCAAGTCTAGTCTGTCTTTTCCACATCTTAAACTTTTATTCTTTGGTCTTGTTATCCGCAGAATTTAACACAAAAAATTGGAGGCCTTTCTCTTATCAACTCCCTGGATAATCTTGTAAACTTCAATACAATCACCTTCTATCCTTCTTTTTTCAAGAGAAAATTAGTTAAAAGGTCTTAACTTATCCCTATAATTAACCCCTCCATCTCCAGATTCATCCAAATAGGTCACATTTGAACCCTTCTCAATAAGTCAATATCCTTTCTTGGATAAGGATACCAAAACTGTATACAGTATTCCAAATGAGGCCTATAGAGAGAAATACCATTTTGACTTGTAATCAGTATATCTATAAATACATCCTAAAATTCTAGTGCTGTAATGCCTCCACATTCTCAGTACAGCTAGAAATACTCAAGAGTTTAATGTCATGAGCATACTTTAATAATTTACTAATTGTGCCCATATCCGTATCATTAATGTAACAGATTAGTAAAGTAAGGTTACCCTTTTGTTAATCCATGCTGGCTTTTTTTTACAATATTTCAATAAATTCTTTTGTAAAGCTTTTTTTTTTTTTTGCAAACTTTATAGAAGTTTTCCCACTAGTGAAGTAAAACTAACCGGCCTGTGATTTCTAGGGTGACTTTTATCATTCTTTCTTAAAAATAGAACTAACATTAGTAAATCTCCAAGCCTCGGGCACCTGCCCACTAGGTGTTGTCCTACTCAAAAATTAAAGAGAGAGGCTCACACATCTGATATTTGACTTTCTTTAAAACCAGTTCTCATTATATCATAGTCTTCCAATTCAACTTGTGTCCTAAACTCATCCATTTTGTCAATCCTGAAACAAAGTATGGTAATTGAGCCAGCCAAGCCTGTTTTATGGTAAGTTAACACACACACACACACACACACACACACACACACACACAATGGATCATCTTTACAGTAAAATGCATTCTTATAAAACTAACTGTATCCAGTTCCTGTGTTGCTTCCTTAAGTTCTGCTCCAAGTCTTCATCCTGTAGTAGCTATCTTTTAACTTTTCTTCAATTAAGCATGCTTTGCAAGTGTTGCGTACATAACACTCCTAGCACCTAGTACACCCTATAAACTCCACCCTTCTTATCCCTGAAGTACCTCTAACCATGTTGAATTTCATAAGTCTTTATTCTCTGTTTCCAGTCTACTCGTACAATAAATCTATTTTTAACTAAAATTGAGCTCTGGCACAGTTTATAGATTAACAATAATAACACTAAAATCCCCTGTTTACTGATACTGTTACTTACTACTGTAACTACAATGTACCCTTATTTTTAATTGCACAACTAATTGCTAATTAAATTAATTTACTAATGTATTAAATTCTCAGCAGCTACCTAATTACTTGTCTAAGGTATAATAACTTTAGTATCTTAGAACCTAATATTACTGCTACTACTACCTCAAAACAAGAAGTCAAGTTTAAGGATATAGTAGTATTAAGCCTAATGTTGTAACTTTAGGTTTAGCTATAACTGGTGTTATAAAACCTGTGTCCAATCCTAATTAATCTAACTAAAATGGCTACTGTAAATTTTGATAATAGCAACTTAATACTTATACAGGAAAACATTATAATCTACATCTACCTACAAGTATATATAATTTTTCCTTCTCAGTTCTAAAAAAATATTACATTTGTCCATTACTCTCAATAGCTCCATCTACAGTCCTAGAACCAATACACAAGGGAATTGTAAAGATATTTAATTACAGAACTCCAAGACTTACTACAAAAATATTATTTATGCTAGGTTATATGATACAACACAGCCAAGGATGAACATCATTCTTTGGTGAAAGGTAAGTAAATATTTTATAGATGAATTGTGTCATTACAATTCATATACATGTGAAAGACTATAAGTAATGTAGTTTTTAACAAACAGTTTCACTACCAGGGGTGACTTAAGAGTGGATAAAGTGACATGGTAATAAGGAAGGAAAATTCTAGAAGAGATGAGCCAGTAGTGAAGTGGTTAATATGAAATACTTAATGAGTATCTTTAAAACTAGAATTGTTCACTAAAAGGTTTTTTTTTTAACTACTGTAGTACATTTTAATTATGTTTCCTAATAGATAAAAAAATTTAATTGCTATTATTTTACTCAATTCCTTCTAAAATTTAATAAAATAGTATTTTAACTTTTGGCTAGAATTGACTAATTTGCTAAGATATTTTAACAATCAAACAACTTCAGGAACTGAATTTAACTAAATGTTTTTTGCTTAGAAATGGTAAGCTTTTTTACAAATACCCATTTAGTACTTCTAAAAGTGTGATTCTTTTATTGTTGAGAATGTCTTTCAGTGAGACCTAATTTGGATTTACATATGTACACAGAAATGGAAACTTTTATAATGCAGAATGCAAACCAGTTAAAAGATGATCAGAACTTGCAATGTTGTAGTTATAATAATAATAATAATAAACCAAAAACAACTGGTATAAAATCATGTCAAATACTTCTGTTCATTGTTATGCAAACTGGGCATGAGATGGTGGTCACTCTTGGTATCTGGAAAGTCATTTGGTTTATGGCTACACGGTCTTGTCTCTTTGAAATGAATCTCAGTTTTAAACCATGATTAGACATCAGACAAGACAATTAAATGTTTCATTCTTGTGGAGAGCCATTAGACAAAAGGAATCCAGCCAAATTATAGGCTGTTAAGAATTGCTATATAATTGTTCAAGGCTATGATTTTTTAAATTTAGACATTTATATTGTTTTTGGCTAGAGGAAGTTTTAATTTCAAATGATGAGCATGTAGCAATAAATGACTAGAACTTTCTTAAAAGTGTAGGAATTTATTTTGAAAGTATAAAAATGTGAGTTAAACAACAGTAGGTTGGTGGGATTGTTGATTTGATAATACAGTCTGCCAATTAATTCAGTGCTGCAGATTTTGAGTTTGTGTATTTAACGAAGTAATAGAGGTACAAGAAATACTATTGTTTATGTATGGAGAAAACTAGCGTGTAAGTTATTGTTTAGCCTTTCTGGAGTTAGATTTATTGCTACTTACATGAATTTTGTATAAGTTGTGTTATAGAACACGTAGTTGGAGAGAGAAAAAAAGCATTTTCATTATCACTAAGTCGACTGGATATTGCATTATTTTTATTGACTAATCCAAAAAAAATTGCCCAACATGAGCAACTTCTACAATGTCTAAGTCACTTATGATTGAGCTTCTAATATATTTTTGTCACATTAAATTACTTTTCCAATTGAACAACTTTCAGACAAAAAAAAGTTAGAGAATTTTTTTATTTTTAGAAATTTTTAGCTGTTTTAAGAGATATATGCATGTGGCAGAGATGGAGGCTATCAGAATAGTTTCCTTCATGTGGAGAAATTTTTATTCACAAAAAATTGTATTTAATAATTACTGCAATGGCTGTATGCAGTTTTTGTAAACTTTTATAACTTGTTTTTTCTTTCAGTTTAAAGAGATCTCCTTTGCATATGAAGTGTTGTCAGATTCAAAGAAGAGACAGATTTATGACAGTTATGGAATTAAAGGCCTACAAGAAGGTCATCATGTAGGTGAGCTGCATTTTGTGTATTGTATTCATCAGGCCTAGCTGGCAAACTTGAATATTTTTGTTTTGAGTTCTTGTAAAACTACACTCCTATCAGTGCATATCCTAAATAGTGCTGGCTTCTGAGAAAAGCGGGTTCACTAATCATTATGTCGGGTGAGGCTGACGGGGATCTTAATACCAACTGTGACAATATTGGATTTGTGTTTTTATTCATTTACTCCAACAATACTGGATAAGGTTGTCATTTAAAAGCGTAGAAATAAATATAAATTAATTTCAGTGATAACAGCAACTTTTCTGTCAATACATGTTCATCCAATATCATTAATGCCATATGTGCCTGCAGATATTTCACTGTAGCAATCTCAGAATGAATCATATGTGTGCTGCTGTAAACTTTCTAACTGCATCCTATTCAGTCTGTAATTTATTAACCCTTTTCCCATAATTTTATATTTATTTATGTGTCTCATAGTTTTCATTGTTGTATGAACTAAGGAAACTGTTTAAATGAATGTTTGAACAGTTTGGCCAAATGTCTTAACCATATATTTGGTATTCATCATCACATTGAAACATTCTCCATTAAATCTCTAGTTTTAATTTTCCATCATTAAAGTAAAATGACAATACAGAGAGTTGAAACAAAATGTTTTAACTACCTATCCACCTATTAAAACTCGTATACATTCTTGTTTTAGCACTTGCCTTACATTTGTTACTGTTACTTTATAATTTTTCCAAAAATAGGTTTCCACACTCTCTCTCTCTCTCACACACACACACACACACACACACACACAC